TAAATACTATTAGATTTTGCTGTTATGCTGTAATAATTCACAAACTATTTGTGAATTTTTTGGTATTTCAGTAAAAATTTCAGTGAAATACACTTCAAAACTAAAATATAATTTATATTACATTAACAACAAATTATGCAGAATATAATGAGTGATGATTTTAAATACACTAATGATATGTGTATTTAATACATGTTTTTGAACCGAAGTAAAAACATCAAAAATATGAAAATCTTAGCATTATGTAAATTTATAATCAAATTATACATTCAAATAAACCCATGTTTAAAACAACACTCGTAATAATTTTCAACACAAACAAAATGTTGATATAATGATTAAATAATCTTATGTTAATTTACAATATATTTAATTATTATAGGATTACATTACGAGAAATACACTAATTAGCAAAATCGTTGCTAAATACCAGAATAAACGTAGAAATAGTTTGTTTTACAGAATATTCTGTGGGAAGCAAACAAATTCAATTAATTAAATGTGAATTCTATGTGAAATACTCGCTAATGCCATAGGAAAACGTTGCGCAACAAAACAATTACTAAAAATTGATGTCAAAACCAAAAAAAAAATAAAGTAAAATAAAACAAAAATTCACCGTCCAACTAGATTAGGGTATTTTGTACATGATCCAAAATGTATATATAGCTTTAGTATTAGAATTTATTGGATTAAATATATTGCGATACTGTATTGCGAAAGTGTCGGTGAATTTTTTAGCCAACGCTCTCATCCATTGTAATAATATATTATTTATATGGAAAATGACAAAAATATATCATATATTTTAATACACTTTAAGTGGAGTATTAAATGGCAACAAAAAATATATTGAATAAAGCATTGAGAAAAGAAAAAAGTAAATTACATTTAAGTTTAAGACTTTTTACATGAAGAAATATATTATTAATTCTATAGTCAAACACATAAAAAATTCTTTAATATATAAGAATATTCTGTGAACACAAGTAGTACTACACTATACGCTCCACTTAACAATCAATCTTAATATTAAGCCCCATATGTTTGCACAGAAACACAAGTGGTCTCTACGTGTAGGTGTCGTTCGGTTGGGTTTTGGGAGCTCTTGTTGTTGTCGTCCAACTCTTACTACAGTATAGACTCTGCCATAAGTGAGATAAACACATGAAGCCTGCCGTGTGTGGGTCTGGAGTGACATTAGGTTAAGACAAGACAAGTATCTTCGAGTACCAGAGGGAGGGAGAGAGAGATCTGGCATTTCAGGCATTTGAATGTCTGGACAAAGAGTTATCATTGAATATCTCTGCGATTAACTACTAAACCAATAATAAACCAAATTCTTATGATTGAATGCATAAAATATTTAGATAATAAATTAGCAATTAATAAAACCCACGTTTGGAAACCTGTGATTATACTGGCATAGGTAGGGAAATAACCCCTGGTATATACCCTCGTATAACCCTTGGTAACCACCACTATTTAATACCATCATCGATGATTTAGGGAAACAACAGATTCACATAAATATTATATCCTAAGATATAATAAATGTCATGCATTCATATGTAAAGTAAATAACAATAAAACAAAACATTTTCTGACAGTTATATTGCAGAGGTTTAATGTATATGAAACAAGAATATGGGATATGAATCAACATTCAGTGTTTTGTTTTGCCATTTTTCTCAAAGCACTTAATGTTATAACTTATAAACGTTTAAATTTGTGTCAAAAAGTATATACGAATTGAATTTATTTTCTTTTTCTTATAATTTAATTTAAAACTTAAAAATAGTTCACTTTATATTTTAAAATGTTTTATAACTTTTTTTTGCTTAAAAGGATTTTGAGAAAGAGAGAGAGAGAGAGAGAGAGAGAGAGAGAGAGACTTTAATATATTTAAAGTTTGATTTTTAAATTAAATTATTTTTATAATAAAATTCAATAAAAACGGAGAATAAAGAAGAAGAAGAGTTTAATGCCATTACCGGTGAAGTGGTATTAGATCTCTCTCTCTCTCTTTGTGATACAAATACTTGTATTAAATGTTTGATATTATAATGAAATATATATTTATTCCCCAAACGGACTGCTCATACCATACATTGCCAGACAATTGCAAGAATTTGTGTGGGAATTGAATGTTTAAATATAGTCTCTATAAATAAGATTAACATTTTTTATCATTGCGTTCATAAAAAGTGGGCCCAAAAATAGTATCATTCAATTACCTTATGATATATTGTTTTATAAATATAAACGTCTTTTTTGTGTATCAATTATTTTTAGGAAACGTTTAATTTGAATCTTTATTCGTTGGGAATTACTTTAATATACATATTAAATACATATCAATGTCCTTATAATATACATTAAAATATTCATTCAGCATTTTCTATCTATGCCTACCTGTGCTAATTTAACACATCCAATCTCTCTCTCTCTCTCTCTCTCTCTCTCTCTCTCTTTCTCAAAATCCTTTTAAGCAAAAAAAAGTTATAAAACATTTTAAAATATAAAGTGAACTATTTTTAAGTTTTAAATTAAATTATAAGAAAACTGTTTTTTGTGTGAAATTTACACAATTTTTCCTCTTTTATATAGAGTATATGTAAAGCATATAACTTAAAATACAAAGACTTTTAGAGGTTATATTCAACAAACATATAAAATAAATCTAGACTTTAAATTAGAATATTTTAAATCCAAATAAAATTACATTCTCTCTCTCTCTCTCTCTCTCTCTCTCTCTCCACTGAATATTAGTGATCATTGGATTGCATTCATTCACTAACTAATGATATATTTTGTTCACTTGATATTCCGGTTCAGTTGTGATCGCATACCATAGATATTATGCTATAATTGAGTTTAAAGTTTTTTCATTGTATTTTTCATACATTTTTTTCATATATCACTCCATTTGTTGTTTTGAAGATTCACTCATTCATTGAAAATTACTCTATTTTCCACAGAAATAAGCGTTTTTGAGAAATTCAATTAAAACTATCTCTCATTCATTCACTTCTCACTCCCACTCAATACTCTGTACAGTACTGTATATTACAGTATTTGTGAAATTAAATCTTTAAGCATTTTTTGTTGATTGTCTACTAATTTAAATAATTATTAATACTTATTAAACCCCGAGGAGCTCTCTCTCTCTCTCTCTCTCTCTCTCTCTCTCTCTCTCTCCTGTCTTGACTATCCCACCAATTATAAGAATAATAAGCAATTATAAAGCATTGGAAAACGCATGCAAAGCAAAAAATTGATTTATAAAACAATTATTTCCATTTGAATATGAAGTGAATTATTTGCATATTTTAATGAATGAGCGGAAAGTCAAATAACCAAACGCTAACAAATGGTAACAACTATTTGTCAATATATAAAATCATTGAATTGTAGGCAAATTTCATAATAATATAAACGAGGCCAGTTTATTGGCCTGTTACCAAAATTAACTCGGTTTATGCTGAATGCATTATTAATATTGTTTGATTGGATTTATCGCTTAATTCAATCACTTCTCGTTAAGTGAATGAGACGTGAATTGTAAATGACATTCAATTTTAAATATGATATTTATATCTGAAAATATGAAATCGGATTATGATCATGATGTGATTTTGTTATTTATGTTTCAGTAGTTTCTCTCCCTTTTTGATTATATAGTATATTAAACCGCATATTATTAACACATTTATATAAATTTAACCCTTTTTTCTAATCATAATTCCCATATTATTATAACTGATTGATAAGTTTTGATTAATTTTAAAGCTATTGCCCCCAAAAATTAGTATTTTATAATTATAAGTTGAATCTAAAATTTATGCATAAAACACATACAGTATATAACAGACACTGTTTTTAAGTTAATTGACATTAAAACGTTAATATTGAAAATTTAAAAATACAATAATAATTAAATATAATTTTAAAGGCCATACCTATCAATGTGTGACAGACTTCCTATTTATGATAATAGTTTTACACTGTTTTTTAATTTCGAGACATGCATGCATTCACTCGATCGCAACGCAAACAGACCTTGATAACTAATTTGTTATTGCCGTATACACAGCATGCACTCTATGAGTATTTGATTTAATTATAGATTTTAAATTTGCTTATTTTCTCCGTAATAATCACGTATAATATGTGATAATAATAAGTTTCATTGTATTTCATATGTCTGTTGTGCAAAATCGTCGCTAATTTAACGTATTATTCAATTGTGAAATTATTTCTCAAAGATATTTATCTTTCGTCTTTTTAGGCAAATATTTTTCATAAGTATTTGTATTGATTTTTTTGTTGCAAACTTTTACGATAAAAGTATTTATATTTCGCAACTATTTTCTTGTGAAATAATGTATTAGTTTTTGAAAATAAATTCAATTCGTATATACTTTTTGACACAAATTTAAACGTTTATAAGTTATAACATTAAGTGCTTTGAGAAAAATGGCAAAACAAAACACTGAATGTTGATTCATATCCCATATTCTTGTCTCATATACAGTAAACCTCTGCGATATAACTGTCAGAAAAATGTTTTGTTTTATTGTTATTTACTTTACATATGAATGCATGACATTTATTATATCTTAATATAATATTTATGTGAATCTGTTGTTTACCTAAATCATCGATGATGGTATTAAATAGTGGTGGTTATACCAAGGGGTTATACGAGGGTATATACCAGGGGTTATTTCCCTACCTATGCCAGTATAATCACAGGTTTCCAAACGTGGGTTTTATTAATTACTAATTTATTATCTAAATATTTTATGCATTCAATCATAAGGATTTTATTTGTTATTGGTTTAATAGTTAATCGTAGAGACACTCAATGATAACTCTTTGTCCAGACAAATACATAAATGTCTGAAATGCCAGATCTCTGTCCCTCTCTCTGGTACTCGAAGATACTTGTCTTGTCTTAACCTAATGTCACTCCAGACCCACACACGACAGGCTTCATGTGTTTATCTCACTTATGGCAGAGTCTGTACTGTAGTAACAGTTGGACGACAACAACAAGAGCTCCCAAAACCCAACCGAACGACACCTACACGTAGAGACCACTTGTGTTTCTGTGCAAACATATGGGGCTTAATATTAAGATTGATTGTTAAGTGGAGCGCATAGTGTAGTACTACTTGTGTTCACAGAATATTCTTATATATATTAAAGAACTTTTTATGTGTTTGACTACAGAATTAATAATATATTTCTTCATATAAAAAGTCTTAAACTTAAATGTAATTTACTTTTTTCTTTTCTCAATGCTTTATTCAATATATATTTTTTGTTGCCATTTAATACTCCTCTTAAAGTGTATTAAAATATATGATATATTTTTTGTCATTTTCCATATAAATAATATATGATTACAATGGATGAGAGCGTTGGCTAAAAAATTCACCGACACTTTCGCAATACAGTATTGCAATATATTTAATCCAATAAATTCTAATACTAAAGCCATATATACATTTTGGATCATGTACAAAATACCCTAATCTAGTTGGACGGTGAATTTTGTTTTATTTTACTTTATTTTTTTGGTTTTGACATCACTTTTCAGTAATTGTTTTGTTGCGCAACGTTTTCCTATGGCATTAGCGAGTATTTCACATATAATTCACATTTAATTAATTGAATTTGTTTACTTCCCACAGAATATTCTGTAAAACAAACTATTTCTACGTTTATTCTGGTGTTTAGCAACGATTTTGTTAATTAGTGTATTTCTCGTAAAGTAATCCTATAATAATTAAATATATTGTAAATTAACATAAGATTATTTAATCATTATATCAACATTTTGTTTGTGTTGAAAATTATTACGAGTGTTGTTTTAAACATGGGTTTATTTGAATTTGATTATAAATTTACATAATGCTAAGAATTTCATATTTTTGATGTTTTTACTTCGGTTCAAAAACATGTATTAAATACACATATCATTAGTGTATTTAAAATCATCACTCATTATATTTTGCATAAATTTTTGTTAATGTAATATAAATTATATTTTAGTTTTGAAGTGTATTTCACTGGAATTTTTAGTTAAATACACAAAAATTCAACCATCATTCTCTCTGTTACGCAAAAATGGAATATATTAGCATGCAGTATTCTCACAAAGTATTCAGTAATAGTTTGTGAATTATTATTATTACAACAACAAAATATAATAGTATTTGAGATATAAAAATATATTATAAGTTTAACTTAAGATACATTTAATAAATGCATTTGTTTACGTAAATGTGCATACATTGGATGGGTTTTGATATGTTTATCAGAATTTTATATTTAAATATTAATTTAACTACTATTCTGATTCTTAACCCCAAACTCAGGCATCTAATTCTACATAAAGTCAATGTTTCTCTCTCTCTCTCTCTCTCTCTCTCTCTCTCTCTATTTCGTGAATTATCGTATAAAGTAAATATTTTTCATGTCCTAAATATTTGAAAAATTCATGAATACTAATGAGTGATATATTTATGCGATTTTTTGATCCGAAATATATGTCTGTAATTAAAATAAATATTTAATTTTTCATCCATTGACAGTAATATATAACAAGCATTTGATAGGAGTATATAATATATGCACACAACAGGGTATTTTAGTGAATAATTATACGTGTTGTATACTGTATGTCATGAAAAGTGAATAATAATATATTATGGTAAATGAAAAATTTGCATTTTATATCTCACTTTAATATCATTAATATAAACAAGAATTTTGTTTACCAATCGTATGATACAGTAATAATTAATTAATAATCATATGATTTATTAATACTAAATAACTTTTGCTATATTGAAAAATTGAGTTTTAAATTATTAAATAACCATTAGTTATATTCACATCACATGGGAATTAGAATTGAGTTCAGGAGATATTTTTCATGCATTAAATTAATGTATAAAACATTATTCTTCATATATTTTCTTTGGTATTTCAAAAATAAATCACAAAATAAATAAATTTAAATATTTGGTCAATACTTTAGTGTTTGAAATAAGTTTTCATTTCGTCTCACAAAAAGTCTTCCCAAACGGGAAATGAAATGAGAGCTCATTTCCAATGAATCTCTTTCACAACGAAATGAGAAATAATACTATTTTTCTATCATTTCTTTACACTTATTATTAATACTTCACTAAATATTTTCGCTTTTAATTACAATTCCTATTCAATGCACAGTCGACGGCATAAAGAATCGCAAAGAATCACATTTCCATTACTATTGTATAGACTTTTATATAGTATATGTATTAACATTCAATTCAATACCTCTATTATATACGTGTATTTGGCTATAAAAGCGCTTATAATTTACTTTCTATACATATTATCGATTATTTTTGGTATAATTAACTTTAATTTGATTTCATTTATTGCCTAAACAGAGGACAACTCATACCGTGGGTCTCCGCGACGGCTTCGGGACCGCAATCACCGGCAAAATGCCGTTCAAAAGGGCGGCGATGGGGTTAAAGGTGGCGCAGGTGTGCCACAGATATCCGTATCCGACTATTCAGAGGTACGGTATATGCAGTATATAATCATCTCAAAAAACATTTAGCAAATATTTGCCATCAATTTTCGCAAAATAAATGTGAAAAACATGTAGAATTGTAGTCCCAGAGGACCGGTAATGTTATTGAAAAACAACCATCTCAATCTGTATAAATACCGTGTAGGTGTTTTCCACAAACACACAAACCTACACACAGGCAACCTGTTTGTTCACCTCCTGTTTCCCTCTCTTTCTCCCGATGGGGATCGAGACATATATCCGTCGATATAATGCCCTATGCTTTTAGGTGTCATGTTATTGAGCGTCCAATACATCATAACTTCCAGGAAAAAACAAAAACCCACATTAAAACTTATGAATTATAAAACACTTGATAAAATGAAATCAATATTTAATAGTCATATGACTCATAGTTAATATTTGAAACTATTTTGACACAGAGTTTCTCAAACCGGGGATCACTGGCCAGTAGTGACGGCCAAAGCACCGAACGCCAGGAGTCGGACGATACGCCCGAACACCACGTATTTGCATACCATAGTCGGAGTCAAACTAGTTTGTCATCGTTTGGGGTATGGATCACAACTCGTAGTCACTTAATAGACATTAAACTAACATTAAATTATGCCCATTCATAGGCCCGAAGCGAGAGCCTGTCCAGCGTTTATAGCGCTGCGGGCGGCGGTCGATACGGATCAGTTGTGGTGACCGGAGAGATACTATTCTCCATCAGCTATAACTATAAGGCGGGCGCAATGGAGGTCTACATCCGTGAGTGCCGTAATCTGGCGCCCGTCGACGCCAAACGGATGCGATCCGATCCGTGAGTGTCATTAAATATGAGCCACAAAAGTGGTCAACAAAATGATTGGTTAATGAATTGTCCATATATTCCGTTCCCAACAGTTACGTAAAGGTATACCTATTGCCCGACCGGACAAAGAGTGGTAAACGCAAGACGAAAGTGAAGAAACACACATTGAATCCGGTGTTTGAAGAGGTGCTCAAGTTTTACATGACTATATCGGAAGTGGAGACCCGAGACCTGTGGCTCACTGTCTGGCACTCAGACATCTTCGGCCGAAACGACTTTCTCGGCGAAGTGTCCCTACCGTTGGGTCACGAGGTGTTTGAGACGCCCGGCCTTAAGTGGTATCCCCTTCAGGAAAGGGTACGTCCAATGCTTTTCATTGAATGTAATGTCAAACACACACTAACCATACGATTCGCTTTTAGATCGATGTCTGCGATAACCAAAACAACTATAGGGGAGACATATTCCTGGCCCTGAAGTACACGCCGGCCGACGGCCAGAACCGGCGCCAAAGGCCCAAAATTGGCACCACTGGCAGCACAAGCGGTTCCCTATCGTCGACATCTTCGGGAACGGCCACTGAGTCGAGCAAAGGCGAGCTCCAGGTGCTCGTCAAAGAGGCTCACAATCTGACGGCCACCCGATCTAACGGCACATCCGATCCGTTTTGCAAGAGGTTTGTTAACTGAACGCCTAGTATTCGTAGACCACTCTTAACCACATAACTAACCGTTTCTTTCACTCTCCGACAGCTATCTGTTGCCCGAAAAGAGCAAATCGTCGAAACAGAAGACACCGGTCGTGAAGAAGACCTGCAATCCTAAGTGGAATCACACGTTTGTCTTCGAAGACCTGTCCGTACAGGACCTGAGGCACCGGTGCCTGGAGTTGACAATTTGGGACTACGATAAGATCACCAGCAATGACTTCCTGGGAGGCGTACGGCTCGGTATGGGCTCCGGTATGCGATTTTGTGTCACAACTAATTCGCATGTCTTAAAAGTGTGTCAACTTTGTTAACACATATTAATGATGATTTTTACCATAATTTTTTAGGCAAATTTGATGGCAAAACGTGCGATTGGATGGACTCAGTGGGCGATGAAGTGGCTCTTTGGCAACAGATGATGGACAGACCCAATATGTGGGTCTACGGGGAACTGCATCTGAGGTCAAGTATGCAAACGCGACGATCTTAATGATAGACCGCTCACTAATTGTACCCGTAATTGATAGCGATTTTCAAATTTTAAACATCCACTCAATACATGATTATTATTGTCTATAATTAAATATTTAATACAAGTGACAATCAAATTGTTTAATACACTATACATTCATACATACCCCGTATAATGATTAATATAACAATTTTAATTGATTACAATTATAAATATATTATTAATTCTCGTTATAGTGAACTTTTATACTTATATATGCCATAAAATAAGCTATAATTTATTTTACACAATAACTATGGAAACATTCAAATAAACAATATTGTCATCAAATTTATGTTCACTATAACGAGAGTATATAATATTATACATAAATATTTGAAATGATTAATTATTTTATATGATAGGCTATAATAAGGCACAGAATTTCTATTATAAATCTATACATATTTACAGCACAATTGTATTCTCCAATAAGTTATGCCATATATTCGGCACACATTATGTATGAAATTATAATTACAATTAATTAATGAATTTATAAATATTTTAATTAATTTTTACACGAAAAGAGTGTTTGAAACAAACCGGTGAATATCGTATATGTTTACGGAATATACAGAATATTCCTAAATATCTCTGTTATCAAAATAGGGCTAAAAATCTAATAAATATTTATATAAATATATTAATTGTTAGAGTAATTAGACCATTATTTTTGTTTTCAAATAATTATATTTATAAATATAGTGTTATTAATACAAACAAAATACAGACAATTATTTTCTAATGACATATTTTTAATGATTATAAATAATCTCCACTATTAATTGTAAATCTAATTTAAATGTTAATTGTTTTGTGAAAAGACCTATTTTTAATTGAGTTTAAATAATTAAATTAATCGTTTATATAAATTGTAATTTTAGTTTTTATACCAACTATTAATTTGTTCCTAAACTACCATGGTTATCATTTTAAATTTAAGTGTTTATTATATGCGTTAATCTGAATCAAAACCATGTATTTAATTATAAATTATATATATTATATATAATTAACGAAAAAAATTGGGTTTCAACTGAAGTGTTGAGACAAACAAAATGTTTTACATATTATATATGTGACGATAGATTATAATTAATTATATGATATATTAATATAAATATTTTGATTAATTAATTAATTCATACAAAGATTTAAATGGTTTTGAAAATGATATAAACAAATAATAATTCATAATATCTTATAATATGTTATAAATAAATAAAACTGATTTTCAGATCTCATTTTAATTATATAAATAAATCAATATTTCCATTTAATATAATGTAAATTTATATATTCATTATAAATATATTTAACAAATACTAACACTATTTGCTAATAATCACTAAATCATATTTTAAATCACAAAAAAATAAAAATAAAATTGAATTTTACTGTTAAATCATTTGTCAAATACTGAATTTAGAGTTCAAAACATTTCCAGAATATGACTGAACCTCAAAATGCATTCATTTTTTTGTGAAATTCAAACGCTTTTTGCTATACACTCAGAGTTGTGGAAAATTTAGAGTTCAAAACATTTCCAAAATATGACTGAACCTCAAAATGCATTCAATTTTTGTGAAATTCAAACGCTTTTTGCTATACACTCAGAGTTGTGGAAAATTCAGAGTTCAAAACATTTCCAAAATATGACTGAACCTCAAAATGCATTCATTTTTTGTGAAATTCAAACGCTTTTTGCTATACACTCAGAGTTGTGGAAAATTTAGAGTTCAAAACATTTTCCAGAATATGACTGAACCTCAAAATGCATTCATTTTTTGTGAAATTCAAATGCTTTTTGCTATACACTCAAAGTTGTGGAAAATTTAGAGTTCAAAACATTTTCCAGAATATGACTGAACCTCAAAATGCATTCATTTTGTGTGAAATTCAAACGCTTTTTGCTATACACTCAGAGTTGTGGAAAATTTAGAGTTCAAAACATTTTCCAGAATATGACTGAACCTCAAAATGCATTCATTTTGTGTAAAATTCAAACGCTTTTTTGCTGTACATTCAGAGTTAAGTAAAATTTAGTTAAAAATGTTTCCAGAATATGACTGAACCTCAAAATGCATTCATTTTTAGTGTAAATATTCGTTTAAAATATTTCAATACATTTATTTATATAAAAACTGATAATTTCACAAATTGAGTGTTGATTTACATAGAATTTTATAATTATAATTTGTTATACAGTATAACTCAATACTGCATAAGTATTTGCACATAAATTATTATTATTTTACACAATTATATTCATTTAATTATTAATTGTTATAAATTGCAAATTACTTATCACTTCATTTTCATACATGTATTTAAAATCTTTACGTATTTATAAAGTTTTAAAAATATGTATTTAATAATAATTTATTGTAATCATTGAAAAGTACAGTAAGTATTGGATATAAAAACAAAGGTTTGAATAAAAAAGCATAATTAGTTGTAATTATAATTAAATAATGTTTAGTCAATTTATTCATACTTTAGTATAGATGAGGGAAACGGTATTTAGTGTTCATATTATTAATACATTACTAAAACATTTTATGAATAAAAACTTAATATAAAATTAAATTGTTTTGAACGAAATGTAACAAAATTTTGGGACAATTAGTGAAGAGATATGGACTCAGAAATGGTTATAACTTATAAGTATTGAATGTTATAATATAATGAATGAAAATTAAGATTAATTATTGAAAACGAATTAACGCGAGGTTTTGAAGCGAATGAAAGCAATTTTGGGACAATTAGTGATCACATTATTGACACACATTTCACTCAAACTTTTTTCCCAATTCCTAACATTGCCGGTGAGAGTAATGCCACGGATTTGTGTCAATCCAGACAATGATATCAACGACTCGTCGCTAATATTCACGTACTTTACGTCCAAATACTGAACTTTCGGTAAATTGTTGGCAATATTAACGAAGAATGTGTCCGTAATATAAACACTTTGGAGGCACTCGTTATACTTCGACGATAAATATAAATGAGTTAATCGTTTCAAAGGCGCCAATGAATGGCTGGTCAGCGGCTCTCCCGTGAAATGTGTTCCTTCAATAGTCAGTCTCTTTAATGCCATAAAGTGTTCACTAATCGTATGAATCGTTTCGGGCGTCCATTCATTGACTTCGATATAAAGACTTTTCATTTGCCGACAATTGATACCAATTTTAGCCAATAATGGGATCAAGTCTTCAGATGTAGAATCACACATAAATATGAGTCTAAGGCTAATCAATGCCTGCATTTGCGGCAATATATGCAGTTTAGTAAGTATTTGGTCCATAATTAGTTCGGTTTCGTACCCAACCGTTAATACAATTGTCTTCATTTGATGGCCGTATTTGTCCGCAAACGCATCCAATGCTTCCAATACTGTCCCCAAAGGGTCCCCATATATATGAATGTATAGCTCAATACTATTGAGTCGTTTAAACGGTATAAGCATTTCGGTCACCGATTGTAAGGATAGGTTTGGTATGGATTCGGAACAGACATTAGTTGTCTCTAAATTGACACACATTTCCAGCCATTTGTCGATTGACTTCTTGTCCACACTTTCATTGAATGACAAAACTTTAATTGATTTCAATTGTGGACCAAATTTAGTGATAAACTTATCAATTGTTTCACAACTAATGTCCCAAAAGTTGATGTGAATGTCAGTCAATTGAGAGCAATGTTTGATCATTAGATCAATGGCTGTGTCTTTGGGACGACAACGAAGTGGCAAATGAATGGATGAAATATTTGTACATTTCTTCACAATTGTCTCAAATATACGCCAATTGTCTTCAGACAAAGTCTTCCATTTGTGTCCAATTATCTCCATTTGTCTCTTATAGACAACTCTTCGCCACTGTTTGGAAATGCATTCAAATCTGAATTTGTCTTCGAGTGAGAGATAAGACAACAACTCTTCGCACAAATCATCACCGAATCGATCCAAAGAGTCTTTGCCATACATTTCACACATTTTTCAATCAAACAAATGAAGAAAAGACAAGAAATGGACTCAAATTATAGCACTTATGATACAAATGATGGTAAAAAACACGTGAAAACCATTGACTTTGCATTCATTATGTGAATCAAAGTTGAGACGAGTTTTGTATTGTTTTCAATGCTTTCATTAAAAATAGACAAAAATTAAATTTCATTTCACGCATAGCTTTAGCACTGCTTTCTTACGGCATAACTCATCAACTGTTGCATAGAATATTGCACAGAACTGCCATGGGCAATTTTATGCAACTTAATTAGCATTACATTAAACATAATTAAAATGATTAAATCTAGTAATGAATGGCACTTAAGATCACATTTTATACATATTGTTCCAAAGTTAGACTTTAGTGACTATAGTTTAGTCCAATTGATCCATAGATGAAGTATTATCTCAAAACTGATCCATAAATACATTTAAATATATTTTATGACTTTTTAATTCAATTGTTGGCTTAAATTGTTTTTGAAGGAAAAATTATATAATTTTAAAAATCCAATCAATTGTTTAAAATTTGAAAATCAATTCACTTTGAAAACTACACATTTGTTTCGCAAACATTGTCTGCATTTAAATCCGAGATTTGATCCGTGGATGCGATGGACTGACAAGAGCTTGCATTTCATGACAACTACTTTTTGGACTCAAATACTAATCATTTTCTTGTATTCAATGTTTAGATGATCTGAAAGACCGGCGAAAGGAATACACGTTTGGATGCAATCCATCGCAA